TTTAAGCTGCATAAATTTCATTCCAGCTTATTTGGTTAGTTTTCCCTATCTGAATAGTCTTCTATTAGCTGGCCACATCGCTTACGCTAATTGCGCTTATCCTCGGTAATGTTATTGCGTTTGTAGCATTTTTGAGTAACTTGTGGACATTTTTTGCTTATCACGGATTCATTGCTAACCAACTTACTTCATATGCTAACTTAGCGAAGAGTTATGCCACCCACCGTATCTGTATGCATTATTGGATTTATGTTATTTCATTTTGTCGTTTCAAGTGATTGGCTGTTGCGTGCTATCCCCGGTGTGGCTGCGCTTGATGTGCATGTTGACAAGGTGCCTACCTGTCTATTACCCACTACCTCGTCCATACTGGCTCCAGGAGACAGTTGGTCGTTGCTGGGGGGGACGGGGTGCACGGTCCGTGTGGCCGTGCTAGGCTCGAAGAGTGGTTCCATGCACTCAGTGTGGAACGGACTACGGTCCAGCCACCGCCTTGTGTGCGCTTGATTCCCCAAATACAGTGTGCTTGTGTTTGCCTGTGAAGGAGTGTGGGCCGGCTCCGTTGATGAAACGTGGTTCCCATCCACATGCCTCCCGGTCTTATTCCTTCGGGTTTACACTGGATATGGGGTGTGTGGTTGGAGCTGTGGATGGTGCAGCGCAAGCCATCCATGGTCCCTCTGTAGGCGCAGGCGTCCTGTGGCTTGCCACAGTGACAGGCAAATCCGAAACCGGATGCCGCCAACCATGCTGTAGCATGAGAGACAAGCTACTAATCGTCATTTACGCCGTTTGACGGTGGACAAAAATAACATCCAATCGCGAGAGGTATGCGTTCCATTCTCCATTGCTACCCGTATGGTAACTTGGTCTTATGATTGCTTTAAGACAGTTGATTTTGTTTCCTTCATAATATCAGGTCACTGTGATTCACTGATAGCTGCCTTTAGTCGTAATTCCGATGGTTACGCTTTGCGCAGCTTATGATAGCTACGCATTAATTACATTGCCCTCTTTGGTGACTGAACCACAAGTTTTATTATTCTGAGGCTAGTGCCATTGTACTGAGGCGACATGCTTTTTCTTGAAACTAACTAAAATATGACATCGCGAGCACAGACGATTTCACCGATGTATCGCTATTCCTCTAGGTCATGATCACGGTCTTCCTCGTTGGCAGTCATTAGTACCTTAGGTACGACATAAACAGAAATTGATTCTCCTGCTACTGCCTGCGTGCTTGTCGTTTTAATTCACTTCTTTCAGCTAGAATTAGCGACATGGGAATTCGGTAAATATGTATCCTCCGGGAAATCTAGGAAACTTTGGGTGAATGAGTGATAGAGCATCGTAATTCTGTCCGGTATTGCTGGATGTGGGTTCGTGATGATAGGTGACTTTGGCGTGGACCTTGCAGATTTTGTTTGTTCCTTGGTGCGAGTTGCTATTTCGGCGGCCAAATGTACAGGAATCGCATTCTAAAACACATCGATCAGGAACTGTTGCAGAAGTACATCAATCGACAGAAAGGCTTTGATTCTGTATGCCAGTCGGAATTGTAGGTGTTACTGAAGTTACATCAGTCTAGAACATAGACACGAGAATACGGGAGATGAAGCCCGGGATAGTACGACCAATCGCGACGCCTGGTGATCGCGTGTGTGCACCGGAATATTTTCATTCGGTTTGTGCCAACGATTTGGGGAGTTGAATAAAGTGAAAACCCTGCTATACTCCCATCTGATGAAGTAAATTTTAACAAAGAAAGTTTACTTTCAGTGCGGACGCCCTCCTACACTCCGCGCATAAACTATGAACACCCAGCAATCTGTTATAACGATTTGCTTGGTTTTAGGAAGTTGTATTGCAGTTCGAATGGCAATGGCTGGTAAACTGAAAATTTGCCAGTCCTTATTATGACTGACAGTTTACAACTCTCCGCTACACAAACGTTTTTTCACAATGTTGATGTGAACATTATGGTTTGATTCCTCTGTCTGGTGGGTCTTTCCTGAGCTAGTGAGCTGCTAGATATTCCATACTTTCGGCCTTGTTAGACTGTGCATACTGCTTAGGCCGGCGTTGCAGTCGGAAAGGGCAAGTAAGCGCGGAGTAGAGGTCTGTTTTGCTCCTCAGTCCCTGTGATTGGTTAGGCATAGGCACCGTTTTGTAAGGTCCCAGAGTATGTGAGGATTTTTAAGGTAATCCACTAATTCCGATGTAATGCACTGTACCGTAGAATACAAGGCAGCGATTCCAGTGGTCTTGGAGTAGCACAATTTTCGGTTAACTTCATGGCATCAATGATAATTCATATTTCAGCGCAGTCAACTCTCAGTCGGACAGGATTCTACCTGGCCGTTCCGAGCGTCCGAATATCGTCAGCGCTGTGCATCTCCGACCGAGGATACATCATCCAAGGACTTTACATTTGTGGTGCTTGTATACGTGAGCTTCAGCGGCAAAGCCGTCAAAAGCTGACCTTAACAAAATTTCAGGCGATAAGAATAATCTAAAATACGCATCCACATTTTAAAGCTGATAAGTCTGAGTCAAATGATTGTCAGCTCAATGGTATGTAGCAAAATGGTAAGAAATATACCACAAAAGTGCCGTAGAGGCGAGTCAGTGAGCTGCAAGTATGTACAAGTACCCAGGATCGGATGACGAACAAATGAGCCATTGTATAATGGTGGTTTTATCACTGAAGCGAAGAAGCGTGTGTCAACCTTTTCAGACAAATTGAAGAAGCTGCGTTTGACCACCAATGACATGCGCAATTCATTGTACTATTGCCTGTCTGTTTTCCCAAAGGACTTGAAATCGCAGCGTGAGAATATATTTAGTTTTTTTTACTGTGCACATACACCAATTTCACGTAAAATATTTAGATAGTTGACCGGCAGACAGACCAATGCAGACCAAATGGAAGACAGTCGGGTACATGCTAAATGCATCCCAGTCGTGAGGAGCACCAATTAATCCCTATACCTTCAGATATTCTGCGACTTAGTGTAAGCAACCGGCGATGCATAAGCACTTTGTTGAGATAGCTAAGGAACAAAACTGACAAGCGTACTATGTCGTGTGGAGTGCCACAATTGCCAGGGTTCCATTCCACCGGTACCAGTACGTTTTGCATAATAGGAAAGTCACGGATCTCTTCGTGTTTCTGTAGGAGAGTCTCAGGTTTCGCTGTCGAAATCAATGTGGATTAGGTCGACATATGTATGCTGCGCAGTGTTGCAAATCATTCACTTAGCAGTGGTTAATAGCTATTGGCTAGTCGAATTCTGATGATTAATGAGCGATGTTTAATAAAGCTGGCTTTGAAGTTGTCAGAAGGTTTTTCTATGTCAGTAATTGCAGCGCGCTAGTTTCATTAACTTCTCTACGAACTTGGTCATAACGGAGATCGCACACATTTGAGGATAACTGCCCACCTTGCTTGGGTCAACGCCTTTCAGAATCGACTTCCATAGCGAGCTTTTGTAACCCTTACGTTATGTGCCATAAAACATCTGTCTTCTTAGCAGTTCAATCCCGGAAGTTGTGATGATATCCAACAGAGACTTAAGCATTTAGTCAAAAACAGCAGGCTTCTTATTATTTAACCTATTGAGGAGATTTTGGTAAATGTTTTATGCTACAACACACGCTGTTGAATTCTGCTAATGCTGCATAACTAGAGCTCCATGTAGGTGCATTTTCATTTAGGAATCATTTTACGAAGTGAGCTCCCAATGCCGAGACATCCTGTCAGCTAGATTTCATGAGTTATTCTTCTCTCCAACCGTAGTACGTCACCAGCAGATCCCAGGTGAAACTGCAGGATTGCGGAAAGCCGCAACCAGTTGTTAATTTCTAAGCCATATTAACAAGATTATTTCTTGCTGGATTCCTCATTAAATCTGAATAAGTTCGTGGAAATTACGCTATCATTCAGTTTACAACCAGCATAATAAATATGTTAACATTTTACAGCTGTATTTCCTCCGTATAATTTATGATATGTTATTATCGCTTTATGCTCCCCCACTGATCCCAATATTGATCTCGAATCATTGATGTTGCCGAAATATTCATCTTGCGGCGCCAGATAAAAATTTTCGGCAATCAAACTATTATGTTATGTGCCGCGTTACTGGTCACAATTCATACCTTGGGCGATCGGTTGAGCGCTTTCAGCATCACTGTCAAATGCAACATGATTTCGTACGATTTATGTTTAGGAATTTCAGAATTGTGATGCATCATTGTTGTAGGCTGAATCAGTACATCGCAGGTAGCTCCGTTTGTTTGGCCTAACACGCCAGCCCTAAACGCAACCAGCTTCCAAATATTCCTTGCTTTTCTTCCTAGGTATACACACTTGCACAAAGTCCTACATCTGCGGACAGCCCTGTTTCACCTGACATGAATCCTTTAACCGTGTGGTATCTTCCAACTGCAGATATCCCAGTGTGATAGTGCCTATGTACTTAAGACACCAGGAAAATAAATTGAAAGTTCAAATGCAGGCCAAATTCCGAGAAGCTCAATGAAATCTTCGCTCTGAAAATCAAACATGGTTGACCGGAAACCTTTTATCTTCATAATATTACACATGCCTCAGTCCAGTGATTTAAGTCCTCATATGTTCTACAATCACGACGTCGGGCTTTTACCAAGACCTATTGCCAGATTTCTCGATTTGCGTGAGAGCGGATGGAAAGTGAGGAATTTTACCGGTTTTGGAGCCGTCAACAACAAAATCATACCATATGAAGCAACTCCGTGGACGATGGTAGTCCACAAGTTATACTATCAAACCTAAATAAGTTGAAAGGTTCGAGGATCCAAGCTGGTTTAGACTTTATCCGGTGGATCGATTACGGCTCATGCTTACCATTATTGAGCTGAAGGGATGAAAAGAAATGTGGTAACAACTATCAGTATTCTAACTATTCGTATAGTATCCATGCTATCAGCAAGCCGGATAAACACATTACGCACAATTCATGCAGACCCAGTAAGTGCTAAGGCGGACTGCTATTAGCCTTGGCAACATTTCCAGCCTTATGAACAAGCGTAATGTACTGAGTCTTTTCGTTGAACTTGGATGACCGGACGTAGGGGAACTAGCACAGAGGACTGAATACTAAGGTGATTGCGCAAGAAATCGAGCTCGATGGCTATACGTGCTCCCGCTGCGGCACATTATCGACTGCTCACGAGGAGGTCTTGCTTTACATCCCTACTTCCAGTGCGGAAGCATGATGAACGTTTACAGAAGCAATGATGGCCTGTGTGACCAGCTCTAGTAGCTAATCCACATTAGGCGCGGAGGGCAGCCAGTGGGTGTAATTCATCACTTGCCACTGAGACTTTGTTTTGATTAATTGCCTCATCTCCGTGGCCACAAGGGCCGTCTCCATTTTATAATTATTGCTGATTTTAATTATCTTAGAGTATACTGATTTGCAGCCCAACTAATGTCCCGACATTTTGAGGTCTAAGCACAGTTGGTGGACTTGGAACTTGAAAGTGAAAGACGGCAACCCATATGAATTGACACATATAAAAACGTGTTGAATTCCATCGTGCCTAGACTTAACGTTAACAGTTTCTGAACAACATGCGTATGATGTGCTGATCCTAAAGCACTTTGCAGCAAGCGACCACCCTGTTCTCATAACCAGCATGGATCGATCTTAGCAGTATTCCAGTCTGCTGGAGTGAGATCACAACTTTTAGGAAAGTGACGTCGACGGACTTATTCGAGGTACTAGACAAGTGGATAAGTCTCCGTCTTGAGCTGCGATTGGAAAATCTTTTGGTCTGTTGTAAGAGAGGGAGAAGCATTTTGGCGCTCTAGGTTGTACCCATGAAGTGTCAAATTTTGATTCAGTCCATGGTTAATAGCGAAATTACTTTACGGCTGCTTCGATTGTAAAGCAGATACCTCTTCTCTAACTCTCCTTGCTAATACGAGGCGTACAAGAGGCAGGAAAATAAATGCAACAGTACGGGACAAGCTAACTTTGACAATTGGAGGAACAGCTCTCAAAGGTCACAAAGGCAGCTCTGGAAAGAAGGTTTGCTTACGAGAAATGGCGCCTGAACCCTGCAAGTGATTTCCCAGTGCTAGAGGTCTCGGATAGCTTCAAGTCTGTGTCCGCTTTGGTGGCGCATTTCTACTCCGTGTTGGCCTGTGATCTGGTGTCTTCACCGAGTTCAACGCGCACCGCGCTTACCAAAATCAGCACTTTGGTTTGCGTTGAACAGGTGCGTCTGCTACTCGCCAAAGTTGACGCCAAAAAACGCAATCGCCATGATAGACTGCACATTTACGCAAGTCCCTCTGGCCATCATTTCGCCTGCCGTGACTTATTTATTTAACTGGTCAATGACCAAAGGCTATTTACCGAGAAAATATGGATGCTCAGTGTGAAAGGTGCGTTAGAAAGGTGGTAATTCCAGTAAGGTGAATAACTACAAGTCAAGTTGCCTGATACCTATTAGGATCAAGGTAGATAGAAACACCTATAATATAGCTTTATTACAGCTGTCCCAATCAAAAGAACTACTGATGCCAACACCGGTCGGCTTCCCTTCACTCCGTACCATCCACTTTATTCGGAGGTGGTACAAATTTATCATCTAAATGACTAGTTTCTCTCCAGTAGTTGCGTACCCGAAGACATGGTGCTGGGGCTCCCAGTTTTCGTAATCATCAGCAATGATCTACCCCAGCTTCCTTGTTTGTCGTGTGCTATGTTTGAGATCTACCTGAGGATGTAGCGAGGAATAAGTGCCATAGACGACTGCAGCCTTCTTACTTACGACCTAAATCGCCTCTCCATGCGGTTTGCTACTTTCACCTTCCTAGTCAAGCCAGGTAATCCAGTATTCATGCAATTGAGTAGGGATAGTGCCTATCCAACTTACACCGGTGACGTCCAGCGATTACATCTTACGCCATCCGCCAAGGACTTGTGTGTACTTTTGAAGTCTGTGCACTACAGGTATGGGCTATTTTATGGTGAACAGCGCAAACTCCTATACTTGGTCTGAAGTTGTGGCCACTCGCCTCTTCTCCTCCATCATGAGACCTATATTCTTGTACGGCCCGCCCGCCCACTATGCAATCACCCTTGATGAGACAAAGGAGAATGAATGAGTCCAACAGGTCGCCACGTGGCGCATTCCGGGTTTTAATGCATTGCCGAACGATGGTCGGTGCGAGAAACTACACGCTATTCTATGGTCGAGTGCGAGTTGATCTCTTTTTGACCTACCGCCTGGTACATCGTGGTGACATCCTCATGTTACGGCCGCTGTTTCATTTACGAACTCCATACAGCAAGTGAGATCATCGGCACAAGTTGGCGGTGCCAGATATAAAGCGACTTCTCCAACCCTACGTTTTAAAAGGAAGATGCAAATTTCTGGTACAGTCTACTAGAGAAAGTCGTGGGGGCGCATTCTATACGGCAGTTTAAAATGTTGTTGGATTTACTTTCACCAACATTCTTTACTAAGTACAACTGAAAACTAGAAATAACACGTTACGTTGCAAGCCCACTGTTACTGTAGCCGGTACCTGTTCTGAGTTACGAGTCAAGGAATGGTCTGATGTAGTTTGACCACTGGTTGATTTGGCTTCTTTGAGTAGGCCTGGAATTTAGATCAGTTATACTGCCGTTGTACTGAAGGAGTCGTTGGCCAATGCCGATATTTTATTTCTATCGCATCTAGACTGCAAGGTGAATAATGCAATAATCACTGCTCTGAACCAAGTGCAAGAGGCGGTGGTTTTCCGTTTTACTTCAGCTTGATTCATCCCGTCTTTGTGGGCCAATTACGAACGAAGTACCTTGATCACAAATCGCAATTGGTACACTTAGTTGAAACTGCATGCAGTGGGTCTCTAGTTGCATGTCAGTAGGTCAACTGAGTGACAACTAAACACAAGTCGCGCGCAATGACCAATAAACACGCATTTTTAGTTTTTGATTTTGGGAGCCGGTTGTCTGTGGTGATTCTTCAATTGACCAATCTCTGAGGGTATATGAAGGCTCGAAAGAGATTAATATCGGCATCTTTCAACCACCGGCCCCGTTGTCGTTCTTTAGGTTTGGCAACGTTTGCAGTGGACGACACCATTTAGTATGTCCCCATTTTCATGCACATATCCGAGTGTTGTATCATTGGACTGTAAATGTCTTCCTGCAGGTGCAGAGGCAAGATATTAGCCCGTCTAAATTACATACTCAGGGGGCACTTTCTCATTAAAACCGGCCTACTTTTATTTTATTTCAGGAAGATGAATTTCGGAATTTGGCTGTGTCTCATCTTCATTGTTGGTAAGACAGACTTCTCTTATGTACTCTTCTTGTATCCATTTGAAAGGCACCGTTCTACCGCGTTTTCTTAGACATCACGTATAAATTTTGCACACTGTTAGCCTTGTTGTAAATGATTAATGTTAAGGATTTACTCAAACAAAATGCCGTAGGTAAGGACGGTCTAAAACTTCTGGGGCCATATTTCCCCAAATTAGTACTGTACCTATTCAGGCAAACGATGTGAATGTAAACGGGAAGCTTGCGACCTACCAAGTTGCCTGTCAGCTGTTTAGCGCTTTCTCTCTCAGTTAGAAATACGCAGGTCCGTGGCAATTTGTGTTAGAAGACTCGTACTCTGTGTGAGGACATTGCGCACAGCATGAGACAGCTAGACTTTCACTGCAAATAAAGGGAAGTGTTTTCCTGTATATGTGGTGACTGCCTGGCTGATCCTGGATGCGACGAATCTGCTCAAATACATACTAAGCCCCCCCCCCCCTAAAATTTAGTAATGCTACTAGCATTTGCGTCACGTGCGCGATCTGAAACAGTACATGCATTTAATTTTGAAGTCAACAGAGAAAGGGTGAGTGTGACTGAAAGTGTCATCGTCTTCTACCTGAACTGAAGCCTATTGGATTTACATAAAACAAGTAATAACTTCATTCATGTGTTCTCTTATTATAGCTGCACGAGCAAGATTGCAAAAGCGCATATTTGGTGGCATCGTGTTGCCCAACTCAAATTACACTTGGCTAGTCAGGATAACCAAATGGGAACCGGACCCGAGAATTTGTACAGGTGTACTGATCTACAGTAAATATGTTTTAACCACGGCCAGTTGTTTGGGGACAAATGTCGACGAACTATTTCGGTAAGTAGCTCATCACAGAAGTGCTGTTTAACTGCTTTCTGCTGTGCATTTTGGGTTCCCTCTTGGTAAGAAATCTTCATGAGAAAATTGGTACCACGGGATCTTTCAGCGCCTCCTGAGAATTTGAGCACATTGGGCTTTTCATTTTAAGGGAAAAAAGCTACAGACCTCATTAGATTTTTCCTTGCGTCGTCCATTTTTTAGGTAAAGGTAACAATCCGAATGTTTATTCTAATACCATTGTCTCATACTGAGTTTCGGTATCCCGCTGACGGCAATGGGACGTTTATATCCATCTGTCTCCCCGCAGATACCTAACACCTAAGTGCGGCCTCATGTAGAATATCCAATGCAGACCTGGCTGCTCTAGACCAAAATCGATACCGTAGTTCTCACGGAATAGTGACACAACGCACAGCAATCTTTTTTCTACCATACTATCAACCAAAGCTGCATAGCTTCATTTTACGACAGTTACTAAAGTCACCTACCTGGTGGCTTAATAACTATCTACAAGATACTGAGGAACACTAACCAAATTTTGAACAAACATATGGACTCTAGCATAACCCATCTACATTAAGAATTGTAGCCGGTGTGATTCGATATACGATACAGCCTTTAAATGGCGCAACGACAAGCATTAAGTTACAAAATGGAAACGCGCTGCTTCTCGCATAACTCTTGCATACACTATAGTGACTCTGCCAAAAGTATCTTCATTGTATCACCATAGTTTCCTTTCACTGTTTTTGTCTTGATTATTCCCACCATGCAAATAGACTGTTTAAGTCTTTAATTTTATATCCGCAATACAGGGACTATCCAATGTACAAAATGTTCTGTAGCATAGCCTGACAACATTGTTGATCGACGATTGCTTTCGGCTCAGTATAAAATATTCAACGACTGAGCTACTTTATTTTTGATCATATTCGAGGAACTGTGTGGATTATTATGCTATTTGAGGGTACACAGTCCGTGTGTATACTAATGAAATATCCACATTCGCCGTAATATCTAGTACACAGTCTAAGAGCACCGTATGCTTGCGCAGAGCCGTAAGCTGTAATACAGCCTGTCAGGAAAATTTGAGATAACACAACCTGTAGTCTGCTGTGTGCTATTAATTTCTTCGGTGTTAATGAGCCGATGATTTAGATACATGTCAGCTGTTTGTTTTATCAAACTTTACTTTTGCGTGTTCAGGTCCATGATGTCACCGACGT